GGGAAAAGTGGCTTGTCAGAAATCAAGTTTTCAATGAGGACAAAAATCAGTGCTTTGGTCAGCTTGGCCAGGAGGAACTCAACCACATAGAACAAATGAGAGATTTCAAATTTTAAGAACTATTAATATGATTGTTTGTTGTAACTTTACAAGAGATATTCTATTAATGATTATTTTAGGAATGGTTATGTGAAATAGTTGTGAATACAAGAGAATAAAAGTGAGTATGCTAGTGTCAGAACTGGAGAGAGTCATAGTCAATGCAGGGCACTTCCTGGAAGTCAACATGAGAGTATATTTATTACATTATTGTGTATTATATTGTGAAATAGTAGTAACTACAGAAAGTATTTATATAATAGTAACTACAAGAAAATATTTATAGTGTAGTAAGTGCAAGAGAATATCTATATGATAAATAGTAACTTCAAGAAAATACTTATATAATAGTAGCTAAAAGAAAATATTTATTCATATATTAGTAACTAAAAGAAAATATCTATTTATATAATAGTAGTGGGAAAAAAATTTCTATTTATATAATAGTAACGTAAAGAAAATTATTTATATTATAGTAACTACAAAAGATTTTTTTTTATATGATAATAACTACAAGAAAGCAGGTGATATATAATAGTAACTTCAAAAGAATACTCTATAAAATAGAATTTCATTTAAACAAAAGATCCAGTATAGGTTAGGTTATGAAATTTTTTTGATACCTTTTCATAATACATGAGAGGTTTATGAAGCTTTAGAAAGTTATACCTAACAAATACGTTTTCTCCATTTTCAGTACCTCAGAAAAGCATAACTTTTTTGTACTTTTTTACTAACTAAATAAAGTTATAACATTATGGTACCTTTTTCACTAGTGCTTTAGTGGCTAAATGTAACTTTTGTGTACCTTTTGTTTGCCAATAAAGTATTGATTGAACTGAACAAAGTGTTTGAGTGTAACTTTTTAATACCTTTTTTGTAACTTTTTTCGGTATGGGGGCCGACCAGCAAATCACAAAATCAACATCTGTGATGGGAGTGGTCGAATGCCCTGTGCCTTTTTTGCCCCCGCACAGGCTTATAATTAGGAAAAAAAACAGTTACAATGAAAGGGTTATTACCAATTTACAAAGTGTATTATTATCAATATGGCCAAGTTGAAACTAAGCCGAACTTTTAAATGTTTCATCATATTGCATAGATCTTCGACTTTATCAACAGAAACAGCTAAACATCTACTGTTTTGTACCTAATTTGCATGAGGCCTCACTGTGGTTATGCTTACATCAGACAAATACACACATGAGAGGAAAGCCATCACGGAATGTTGATGTCGTTACGCTAATTAAGGCAGACATTAATTGCTCAATCAACTTAAGTGTTGATTCGATACAAACACTTGCAACAACTAGCAGGTGGTGAAGCGCCAGACCGAATGTAAGTCATTCTTGCCTAGTCCAGTAAAGTATGGCATAATTCTCATCTGAAACCAAGTACATGTACTTTTACATGTATGCAATTAATCTTATCAGATAATTAATTTTATTTATTTTTTCATGAGTTACTCCCTTTCAATAACTTCACACACACTTTTATACATCATCAACAAACCAACATGCGTACAAAATCTATCACAATAACTGTATGGTTCATGCACTGTACAAAACGGCATCCGAGCAGTTATATCAGGATAGGGGTTTGACTGTTCACTTCTGAAAATCGAGCCCTTCCTTAACCGGCCAAATGTTTCTGTCCCATGGAAGGCCTGACTACAGAAGTTCCATTAATCAGTTAGCTAAAAACGTACATTTTTTTAACCTTGGGACAATTATTGAGTAGCAATAATGCAACATCTGGGGTTATTGAGCGTGAACAGTATATATAACAATAAAATTAATGTCATCAACAAACTAATTTGAAGAAAAAATTCACGTATGCGGATTGTGTTGGAATCTGTCAATCAATGAGTTCCATCCAATGATTTGGTGTCCAGTAGCTGTAGCGTTTCCTTGTTTAGTTTGTATCAGAAGTAAAATTGTACCTTAATTCAAATGGATGAATTGTGTCCACATATTTCACTAGGGAAAAAGAGTCTCGTACCGTCCAATCAACTTTGTACACATATGTTCACATCACAGGTTTGACAATCATTACCTTATTTCAATAACAATTCTGCCACTAATTTAAATACCATATGCCCTGATAAGTTTGACTCAAGCGTGCAGAGGTCTTCAAATTTGTAACAGGAACAGGTGGCAAAACTAAGACAGTCTTCTGGTCAAGCATCAAATTAGCCATTGTCCGGTCAAGCATCAAATAAGCCATTGTCCAGTCAGGTCAATTTTGTCGACTCAAGACAAATATTTTATACAATCAATAACTCAGATAATTTCATCCACATCTGAACAGCACATTAATCTTTTCTTAAAATTTGATCCAAAAAATCCATATTAATTATGAGTAGCTGTACAGCCTTATACATTGTACAGGAAATCTGAGAACAAAAGGTATAATGGGATTGTATACTGCACATCCTAAAGAGCACGCTTCATATGGTTTAACAAGATGAATACTGATATTTCAAACCTCATTTTAATGCCTTACATTTTCACTTGTAATTTGAACACCTTATACTCCTTCTACATTAGCATATGACAGTTCGGGCATTGAGGTTTCTTTACCATCAGGAATTGAGGTGTCCTAACCCTTAGGCATCGAGGCCACTAACCCTTAGGCATTGAGGTGTCCTTACCCTTAGGCATCGTGGCCCCTAACCCTTAGGCATTGAGGTGTCCTTACCCTTAGGCATGAAGGCCCCTAACCCTTAGGAATTGAGGCATCCTAACCATTAGGCATTGAGGCGTCCTTACCCTCAGGCATTGAGGCATCCTTACCCTTAGGCATTGAGGCACCCTTACCCTAAGGCATTGAGGCATCCTTACCCTCAGGCATTGAAGTGTCCTTACCCTTAGGCATTGAAGCGTCCTTACCCTCAGGAATTAAGGTGTCCTAACCCTTAGGCATCGAGGCCCCTAACCCTTAGGCATCGAGGCCCCTAACCCTTAGGCATCGAGGCCCCTAACCCTTAGGCATTGAGGTGTCCTTACCCTTAGGCATCGATGCCACTAACCTTCAGGCATTGAGGCATCCTTACCCTCAAGCATTGAGACCTCCTTACCCTCAGGCATTGAGGTGTCCTTACCCTCAGGAATTAAGGCATCCTAACCCTTAGGCATTGAGGCCCCTAACCCTTAGGCATCGAGGCCCCTAACCCTTAGGCATTGAGGTGTCCTTACCCTAAGGCATCGATGCCCCTTACCCTTAGGCATTGAGATGTCCTTACCCTTTGGTATTGAGGCCTCCTAACCCTTGGGCATTGAGGCTTCCTTACCTTTGGGCATTGAATCTCAACAACAGTTAGAGACTGAATAAGAGACAATGATATACCAGAGGATCATAACTGAGAATTATGTCTTATAATAAGCATTTCTCCACCATTGTAACTGAGTGCAGGTAAACTCAACACATTCTGTTTTGTTAGTAGAAATGACAAGTACATCACTGACATCCCACAACTAGACAGTTCATGTGTACCACAAAACACAGAGGGACATTAAACTCGTACATAATTCTCTTTGATCTAAATTGACATGAAACTTGTTTTATTGGAAAATGATCAAGATTTATTTCGCCAGATGCAGAAGAAAATCATTCCTGAAACTTAAAAAAGAGATCCCAGAGGGATCTTTAAAGTGCCCACCATTATACCATCTTCATTAGTTCTATGTCAGTCTGATCTTTTCTCTTATCTGTTTTATCGAGTCATGTAAACAGTTAATGCACCTGGAGTACCTTTTGAACAAAACTTCATACTGCTGTGTATAAAACACATCCTTTTATTTTGTTTATTCCATCAGTCTTAAAAGAAAACTGACACAATTATGACACAGAAATACCAATAACAAATATTCACTGTCAAAATCATAGATGGCTGCCTGTTGGCCATTTTATATTTCGATCATAGATGGCTGCCTGTTGGCCATTTTATATTTCGATCATAGATGGCTGCCTGTTGGCCATTTTATATTTCGATCATAGATGGCTGCCTGTTGGCCATTTTATATTTCGATCATAGATGGCTGCCTGTTGGCCATTTTATATTTCGATCATAGATGGCTGCCTGTTGGCCATTTTATATTTCGATCAGTCTCAAAAGTGAACATGCACAAAATTTAAGGACCAAGGGAAACCTACATATCGAATTTGAGAAAGACCCCTCCAGCACTTTCTGAGAAATAGTCATAACAAGACATGTTTAAGGATGGACAACGGACGATGGATGGCGGACGGCGGGCTACGAAGGAAGGGCGATTTCAATAGGCTAAAAAAGTCTACCAAAATCCATATTATATGTCCCAAGATAATAAGCATATATAATCTTATTTTAGCATTGAAGTAAAGCCAAGCCTAAGATATACAGCTGGAACTTATTCTCAGTTTTTGGCACAAAAGACACAAATCCTTCACTGGGAGATGGCTTAATATAAGAGCCTCCTCTTGTTGCCAGATCCCTAATATTACATTATGTAAAATTATATATTATGTACAGCTTATTTGTAAATAAAATATTGTTTAAACCAAATCCATCACATGATAATTCCCTACATGCTAGTAACAAAGTTAAATGAAACTGAGTAGATCGGATAGAAGTATCTTGTTCTGTGATTAAAAGACTGCACCTAATGTGACCAATCTCAACCAGAACATTCTACCACAGAGTTATGCTTGCGAAAGTTGAAATGATGTTTTTCAATATTCTTCAAAAAAGTTGGATGTAATGTGAAGATGGACAAAAAGAAAATATATATTAAAAAGCTCTCCCAGTTTGTTATCATGCACAACAGAAAAAAGCAACCATACGCTTAGCTATATATGTATATATGCTACCATCATAAAAAAGCAACAGAATACAGAAGATGTTTTTCATAAAATACACTCACCAGCTAGGTAGTAGATTCCTTCATCCATAGCAGATCTGGCTCGCTGAGTCGGAGGCGAAGGACTATCTTCAGGAGGAGGACACGATCGTAAAATACGCTGGATTTCCGGACTATTGCCTGGTGTCGGAAGGCTATGCTGTCTCCGTATAATCCCTGATCCTGAGTGAATATGTTGGGAAGCACGGATAATTTGAGCACGTGGACTTTCTGGGCTTGAATGTGACGAAGAAGACATCGTGTTGTGGCGATCTCTTTCTGGACTTCCCTGAGAAAAGATTCCTTCAGAACCGACAAGTTGTTGAGAATGGCTACGACGACCCTTTTCAGGACTTCCATTTGAATACATTCCTTCTGTATCACACTGTTGTACATTTTCATTTTTTTGCAATTTTTCTGGCATGGCTTTCGAATAAATTTCGTCAGGTGCGACATACTGTTGCGGTACAATGTTTCGTCGGACACGCTCTGTAGTTGTTTCGGAATAAACACCGTCCTGTACAATAAACTGCTGTGGCATAGTGTGCCTGGGTTTTGGTGGAAGCTCACTGTAGGTGTAATCACTGAGATATTTGTAGTGGTCCGGCAACACGCTGGTTGCCGTGGATTTCGGTGCATCTGCTGGAACCTCACTATCCTGAGAACTTTGCCTTGATGTGTTTGGCGAGTTACTTCTTTGAATTTCCGGACTAACTCCTGGAGAAGGAAACTTGTAACGAGTGTGATGTCCCGCAGCAGAATGTACAGCACAGTTGTGGTCTATTGTATGTTTTGGTTTAGGGGGTGGAGATCGTAGCTGGTCAGCGTTTTGATACACCGGCGGGGCCCTGGGAGGGGGAGTTGCAGAACTGACCCTCAGCTGTATCCGGTGTACCTCTGGACTTCCACCAGGTTTCAAGTGTAAATCCTTATTGCCAATCTCCGACTCTGGTGACAGATCCTTCTTGTATTCTTTTGGACCCTTCGTGGGATCAAACAGGGGCTCAGGTCCATTCCAAAATGCCTCAAAAGCTGATTTTGACATCATGTTACCTTTGGGTCCCTGGTACCCTGTCATCATTGGGCTGTTTGGACACGACCCCACTGATGTCCGAACTGAGCCCCTGCCAGAACCACGCCAGGGAGGGCTTGTAGGACTTGAATCCACACTTCCATACCTCTTACCAATGGCAGATGAATCTGTTGCCAGAACGTGACTCTGTCGTTTCAGTTCCTGTGGCTTTTTTTGCCTTGCTGGTTTCTTTTTCTTCCCTAGCAGTGACAGAACTCCGCCATCTTTCTTGCCATCCTTGTTTGTCAAATTTTTAGCCCTTTTTTTTGGTGAATCTTTATTATCAACAGAAGCAGGTTGTTTGTAGATGTAGCTATCCATGCTGTAAAGCTCTGAATATTTTGAAAAACAAACTAATTCACTTCATTCAGTGTGCGTCTAAACAAAATCACACACACAACATTATATTGGTTAACTAATTTGTGACAGATTATTCACATTCGCTTCGTTTCCAGTTGCTTTTTTTTTAAACAATATATCTTTGTATGTTCTTTGTGTGTAGTTATACCACATCAATAACTAACTATCAGGTACACACACATATATCATCACATTTCGGACATTTTGATTGCCTACTGCTACTTTCCATAAATTCCCTCCAATGGTTTATAACAGTCACATTGAATTGAGCCCGTATTGGTACTACAAATCAATCATTTTCCATTTACACTGACACAAGCTTCCCTAGGACCCTGATCTACATCCTCCTAGAGCCGACTTTCACTCAATATTTGCATAGCTTCAGCTAATGAATAACATATCGGTAGCCTTCAACTCGCTGTTAATGGTAAACGATCATACCCAGACATACATCTTTCGTTTAATTCTCTGTTGCTAATGACTACATATCAAACCATTTTTCTTTGTATCCGAGGCGACATTTTTTTCAGTAATAGATGCACACATATTTATTGATCTCTTCATCTTTCATTTTCACATAAGTATTACAGGTTGAAATCCCGATGCAGATGTTTCTCCTTTGTTGATCAATGATGTCTGAAACGTAAACAATCTTGAGCCAAATTAGCAAAAATGAAATTAGTATCATGACATTTAGTATATATGATGTGGAATCCAAATGAGTCAATGTCATTGAGGTGTCTTTGAATCTAGGGTACACTCGGAGTATATGATTCAATGCCGAAATCCACTAGGTGTGTCATTCAATTACAATATTAATGTATTAGAGCACACAGTTTGATTCTCTCATCAACGAAAATAGGGCACACAGTTTGATTCTCTCATCAACGAAAAGCCCAGGTAAATCGGACGGTTGGTAAAAGATCAGTGAGCTATATATAGAGAAAAGTACGTAAATCCGAGATTCACTGTAGATTTCACTAGTCGATGTTTGAGTAATTACATCAGTATGTTTAGCACCTGTAGTAACTGCACCAGCTGCTGTAACACATAAATTAATCAGTCAATTATCTACCTGGAGCAGGTAAACTGCTGAAAAGTATGGTCAGTTTAACAAGATATTGATACTAAACTTTCAGCTAACATTTCTGGTAACAAGAGGCCCCATGGGCCTTAACGGTCACCTGATATTTTTATACAGAGAGTTGATTTTGTTATTAAGATGAATAAAAATAATATTCAAAGTGACAAAAAAAACAATAAAACCACCTTTTTCAATATCTAGCATACAGATTTAAGCCTAAAAAGTATTTGAAACTAGCACCTCTGATTCTAAACAAGGAAAATTAAGACATTTAAGCACACTGACTCCTTCGGGCCACACCCTACAGCCCTTGGGGGTAGGACTGGCTCAAAATTTTCAAAGTATCAAACTGTCAACTCAGGGTTATAATTCCAATCAAGTTATTAACATGTAATATTCAAAGTATCATTTGCCATTATAAACCATATAACAATTTTGAAATTTCAGTCAATTCAACCCATTTTGGCCCAACCCATCAGCCCCGGGGGGTCAGTCAGGGCTCATACATGCATACCATCAAACTGCTACTTAATACTGATAATGCTTACCCAAATTGAATTACTTCCAATGAAAATTAAACAAATGTTAGTCCAAAATGTGATTTCCCTATATAAACTATAGTAAAGTTTACCCCCTCCCCAGGGGTACACGTGAGACCCCAGGGTTATAAAATTCACAATTTTGGAAGAGCACCTTAAGACCATTCCATCTATGAAGAGTATTTGATTCTACCATATCTGGGTCTGGAGGAGAAGATTTTTGCAATTTCAGTCAATTTGACCGTTTTTGGCCCCACCCATCAGCCCCGGGGGGTCAGTCAGGGCTGATGTGTATACCAACAAACTGCTATCCAATACTGATAATGCTAACCCAAATTGAATTACTTCCAATGAAAATTAAACAAATGTTGGTCCAAAATGTGATTTCCCTATATAAACTATAGTAAAGTTTACCCCCTCCCCAGGGGTACACGTGAGACCCCAGGGTCATGAAATTCACAATTTTGGTAGAGCACCTTAAGACCCTTCCATCTATGAAGAGTGTTTAATTCTTCCATATCTGGGTCTTGATAAGAAGATTTTTTAAATTTCAGTCAATTCAACCCTTTTTGGCCCCACCCAATGGCCCCGGGGGGTCAGTCAGGGCTCATATGTGCATACCATCAAACTGCTACCCAATACTGATAATGCTAACCCAAATTGAATTGCCTCCAATGGCAATTAAACAAATGTTGGTCCAAATGTGATTTCCCTATATAAACTATAGTAAAGTTTACCCCCTCCCCAGGGGGAAACGTGAGACCACAGGGTCAAGAAATTCACAATTTTTGTAAAGCACCTTAAGACCCTTCCATCTATGAAGAGTATTTGATTCTACCATATCTGGGTCTTGAGAAGAAGATTTTTGAAATTTTAGTCAATTTGACCCTTTTTGGCCCCGACCCTCAGGCCCCTGGGGGGCGAGGACCAAACCGGCACCTCTTTTTGTTGACCTTTGGCTATGGAAGGTTTCTGCAAAATTTCATTGAAATTGGTTCAGGGGTTTTGGAGAAGAAGTCGAAAATGTAAATTGTTTACGAACGCACGACAGACGACGACGGACAAAAGGCGATCGCAATAGGTCACTTTAGACTTTGTCTCAGGTGACCTAAAAATGCTTTGAATTCATGCATAGGGATTCAAATTAGTACAGAAAGATTGAACAAGAGGCCCAATGGGCCTGCATTGCTCACCTGGTATAAATTTCACACTTGTAACCTTAAAAGTGATCTAAAATAAAGCTACAGGCAAAATAAAATATCAGTATTTATTATTTAAATTCATTCAAAAGAACCTGTTATTTTTTTTTTTAAACATTTCACCCCTGTAATTGAAAGTCGAACAAAGTCATTATGTTAAACAAATTTTATAGCCTTTCATCTCAGGATGCAACTTGCAAAGTATCAACATCCTGGGACCCATGGTTATTCAGAAGAGGTCGATTAAAGATTTTAAACAAATTTGACCCCTGTGACCTTGAATATAAGTCAAAGTCATTCACTTTAACAAACATAGTAGTCCTTGATCCCAGCATGCTACTGACTAAATATCAACATCCTGAGACTTTTGGTTATTCAGAACAAGATGTTTATTTTTTTTTATATTTTGACCATATTTGCTCCTTGTGACCTTGAATATGATTCTAGGTCATACATTTAAACAAACTTGGTAGCCCTTGATCCTAGTATGTTACTGACTAAATATCATCACCCTAGGCATTTTTTGTTATTCAGAAGTTGTTTAAAGTTTTTAACATATTTGACCCCTGTGCCCTTGAATATGGGTGAAGGTCATTCATTTGAAAAAACTTTCTACCCCTTCATCTCAGCAAGCTACTGGCCAAATATCATCACCCTGTGCATTTTGGTTATTCAGAAGAGGTTGTTTAATGTTTTTCACATATTTGACCCCTGTGACCTTGAATATAGGTGAAGGTCATTCATTTTAACAAACTTTGTAGCCTTCATCTCAGCATGCTACTGGCCAAATATCATCACCCTGGGCATTTTGGTTATTCAGAAGAAGTTGTTTAATGTTTTTCACATATTTGACCCCTGTGACCTTGAATATAGGTGAAGGTCATTCATTTTAACAAACTTTGTAGCCTTCATCTCAGCATGCTACTGGCCAAATATCATCACCCTGGGCATTTTGGTTATTCAGAAGAAGTTGTTTAATGTTTTTCACATATTTGACCCCTGTGACCTTGAATATAGGTGAAGGTCATTCATTTTAACAAACTTTGTAGCCTTCATCTCAGCATGCTACTGGCCAAATATCATCACCCTGGGCATTTTGGTTATTGGGAAGAAGTTGTTTAAAGTTTTTAACATATTTGACCCCTGTGCCCTTGAATATGGGTGAAGGTCATTCATTTGAACAAACTTTGTAGCCCTTCATATCACCATGCTACTGGCAAGATATCATCACCCTTGGCATTTTGGTTATTCAGAAGAAGTTGTTTAAAGGTTTTTTAAGACAATTGACCCCTGTGACCTTGAATATAATTGAAGGTCATTTATTTGAACAAACTTGGTAGCCCTTAACCCAAGCATGCTACTGGCCAAATGTCATTTCCCTGGGCAGTTTGGTTATCGAGAAGAAGATGTTTAAAGTTTTTCACATATTTGACCCCTGTGACCTTGAAAATGGCTGAAGGTCATTAACTATAACAAACTTTGTAGCCCTTCATCCCAGTTTGCTTCTGGCCAAATATCATCACCCTAGGCCTTTTGGTTATTAAGAAGAACTCGTTTAAAGTAAAATATTGACGCCGGACGCCGGACGCTGGACGCCGGATGCCGCACCACGGCATAAGCTCACTTGGCACTTCGTGCCAGGTGAGCTAAAAAAAACATGAAAATACATTTATCTAATTTTTAAAGACATAAGTTTCTAAAATAAATAACTCTTTTAAAAATGAGAATAACTTGCTGAGCTAACCGAGTGAATTCAGTCCCTGTCAGCAATAAAAATAGATTACAGAATCATATTAAAGATTGATTCCTGCAGACCTTTAGAATTTTTTCACAATTTTAAAGATATTAAGTGTTATTGTTATTTTTTCCAGTCTATATATATCACCTGTGGGGGGAAAAAATATTGAAGATAATTTCTTGAAAATGTCAAAACGGTAAGGACAAATTCAGCTCATTTGGAAAATTTATCTCTCACACGTTTTTTTGAAATATTCAAAATGAACAATATTTTAAAAACCTGGAAAAAGTGAGAATGAAAAACTAGTATTAAGATAGCAATGCTTTTTACAAAGTGTCAAATACCTCAGATCCACACAGGCGTGATAATTAACTATAATCAATGACCTGACAGCACTGTAGCGACTTGACCTATAACCTTGAAGCTTGTACATGCAATTATCAACAATCACTTGTCAACAGTGATTTTTTTCCAGCGATTGATGTTGGTTTATTTTATCACAATGCTCATCCTAATGAGCTTTGTGGTGCACAAAGGATTTCACACCTTAGCAGTTCACGCTGGAGGTATTGATTAGGAAAGCGTCGGACCTAGCGCCTGTACTAGTCAACACTACAAAGTAATAGACAACTTCACAAATTATTAAAGAATTAAAACACGATTCACAAAAAAGGGTACTTGATCCTCATTTATTGTAAGTCTCAGATTTTGACACCATTGGCAACAAAATTGAATGACCAACATTCAGGACCCACAATTCAGACAATGGCTATATGTTAAACCTGACCCATAATTCAGACAATGGCTATATGTTAAACCTGACCCATAATTCAAATTAACAGAGAGGCAGCAAACAACTGGTTCATAGTTCTAAAACTTGGGATTCAAAACTAAATTTCAGCACAATTAAGGCCACATGACCCAGCCATTTAATTCTAATGGAATCAAAAACACAAACATTTATATTGAACCACCTCAATCTGTGGTCATGCAACAGTCCTGATCCAGAAATCAGCACTCAACTTCCATTAATGTAACACAAATTTTAATCCAGAGTCGAAACCTAACCATCAAATTCATTCACAACAAGAGGCTCATGGGCCTTAACGGTCACCTGAGTCTATAGTATTTATTTTTGTTGTTGAAATATGTACCAATTTGAGTAAAAAATAGTATAATGTTAACTTAACTTTGTCAGGACCATGAGCTGATCATTCCTAGACCAATTTTAAGTGAGATCGGCCTATTAGAACTTAGTAGCAAAATAGCGGCCATGGCAGCCAAATTGTATTTCTGATTGACCCGAAAAATAACAACACTTTGTCAGGACCATGAGGCGATCATTCCTACCAACTTTCAGTTCAATCAGCCCAGCAGAACTTGACTGTAAGTTTGAAATGTAAAATGTTGACGGACGACGGACGACGGACGACGACGGACGAAAACGGATAGCAATAGGTCACTTGAGCATAAGCTCAGGTGACCTAAAAAGTCCACATAATTCTGATTCCAAATTGAGGACCAAGAACTGAAGACCAATAGTAACAAACTGTTGGCAGTAAAGTCGACCCATTGTCTGATAATACCAATGTTAAATGGATCTTTTTTTCAAAATCTCATCAAGATGGAGAAGATTTAGCACCAATCAACAAATTGCCATTATCTGTGCTGTCAGCCAAATATAGTTTTGAACCATTTGACATGAAAACATTTCTAGAAATACAATAAATTTTGTCAAGTTATGAAACACTATAAAAGTCCTGTCTGAGTGTGTCTGATTAGACAGGTTCTCACTGAACTGCTGTACAACTTTTGTCCTCATTGTGTGTCAGATTAGAGAGGTTCTTTCTGTACTGCTGTGCCAATTTTGTCCTCAGAATGTGTCAGATTAGACAGGTTATTCCTGCACTTCTGTACCCCTTTTGTCCTCGGAGTGTGTCAGATGAGACACTGGTGCCACCAGTATAACTACACAACCTAGATCAATCACAGTCACCAGGAACTAGTGGAAATGTCCTCATCAGGAAATATAAACAGGAATGCTTGTGTACCCAGACACCATTTTCTCCTAACTAATAATTCCTAAGATATGCTTCAACATCGCACATGTATACACGTATGAACAAGACATGTCCCTGGTACATACACAAACCAAACACACATGTACAAACTTATCCCATTTTCAGATGTCCAAAAGATGTTATTGAGAAATGTTACTGTTTCGTTTGGAAAGATTTAAAGTCGATCTTCTTCCTGCGAAACATGCCACATACGACACAGACAAATGGATAACTGTGCCAGACAATGTGACACACAGACAAACAGACAGACAGACAGACAGATAGACAGACGACAGACGACAGATAGACAGACAGATGAACCAACTGTAAACCTATAATCACATATTCGCAACAAAGACAATATAATATAGTGACAAACATATTCCTGTCAAAGACAATATAATATAGCGACAAACATCTACCTGGCAAAGACAATAAAATATATAATGACAAACATCTTCCTGGCAAAGACAATAAAATATATAATGACAAACATCTTCCTGGCAAAGACAATAAAATATATAATGACAAACATATTCCTGGAAAAGACAATATAATATAGTGCCAAACATATTCCTGGCAAAGACAATAAAATATATAATGACAAACATATTCCTGGCAAAGACAATATAATATAGCGACAAACATCTAACTGGCAAAGACAATATAATATAGTGACAAACATATTCCTGGCAAAGACAATATAATATATAATGACAAACATATTCCTGGCAAAGACAATATAATATAGCGACAAACATCTACCTGGCAAAGACAATATAATATAGTGCCAAACATATTCCTGGCAAAGACAATAAAATATATAATGACAAACATCTTCCTGGCAAAGACAATATAATATAGCGACAAACATCTACCTGGCAAAGACAATACAATATAGTGACAAACATATTCCTGGCAAAGACAATAAAATATATAATGACAAACACCTTCCTGGCAAAGACAATATAATATAGCGACAAACATCTACCTGGCAAAGACAATATGATATAGTGACAAACATTAAGATTTCCTACTATCTACGTGAAATCTATAAACCTAATAATGATAATAATCCAATGATCTTCCAATAAATTCTCAACTATAATGACTTCTCAAAGTCCCTAAAATTGTGCTGTCCATCTACAGATTCTAAAAAGATGAAGATGTGGTTGAATGAAACCATTGATCTTGCCCAAATACACCAGACCTATAATCGCTCTCCATGTTGTCTCAGAATCCACTTAAAGGGTCTGGGAGCCACATCAATGAGATAGCCTCCTACATATCACCAGCCAATAGTTAGTCAGAAACTCCTTCCATAAACATAGGGGGAACCACTTGTATACTTCGTAAATTTAATGTTTCATCATGGGCCATGTGTACTTGGGGAAATCCTGTCTGCTGACCTTGGCCCGTGACCTTGACTTCTGAAGCAATGTGTAAAAGAACAAGGGAATAAATGTGTTGAGTTTACAGTAAAATCTACACAAGCAAAGTGTTCCAGATATTTGGTAAAACGTTAAAGCTGTGTCTCCGACATTGATTATTACACTCTTTAGCATCATATCTAACTAAAACTACAAGATATGTATGTTAACCTGTCTATAAGGATGTACTTGACCAGATCTGGACTGTTACATCTAAAAGAGTTGTCTGAAACGTACAACCATGTCAACCTTTTGCGTGAAATGCTTAAAGTACTACACCAACATTGATTTTGGAACATGAGTATATGAACAATGGTACAATCAAACACGGACGCCACTGATCAATGTTTCATAGGGGTTGAAATTTGTGCGATAAAACGCCTGTTGTAATTGTATGTAGCTTTTGTTCATAAATCATTGAGCCTTGTGGTAGACAATAAATAAAAACTAAGGCGGCAAGCATCATAAGACCAGGCAGGTCTGATAATTAGTGTTTGGCTAACCACATGCACATAAACCAAACCAACATGTGCTGTTAGCAGCCTTTTAATTCATGGACTGGAGAAATTTTATATAGCAATCTTTTTTTTCTCTCAAGATGTCTCCCAACAAAAGTCATCCGAGCTAGTGTACCGTTTTGTGACATATTGTAGCGAGTAGGCCAGCATTTGTCTCATTGTAATCAACTTACTTATGTTCTCAGATAAAGGTGATATTGTTCCTAGGCGATTGAACAAGTAAACTCAACAACATGTGCAAAAACAAAATTGTTGTCCTTAATTTTGCCTAAGAAAATCATGAAACCAATTCTATCAACCATCTTTTACTTCTCTATCTTTATAATTACTGAGCTAATCATTGGTTTTATTTCTCTCTCTTCTAAACCTAACACTTATCTCAAGGTTGACATGGTATTGTGTTGCAATGTGGAGCTATTTGAAAACTTGTCCACATTTTCTTAAAATTTATCTATGAGAAGAGTAAGCAGTACTGCAAGTATCACAACATGTATGAATGATATTACAATACGTTTTGCTAATTAATTTAACATAAAAAGTGACAAAAATGCAAATTAATTGTGATAAAATCTAGTCGTTTTCTATAAAGAAAATTGTTCTTTTATTCAACTGCCTTTTCCAAATAACATCAACTTCACTTCCCATTTATTCCAACATACTGAAAATACGAAAGGATTTTTTTTTCCATATCTTGAGTTTATACATAAAAGGATTGGGAAGCAGACTTTGCATCTTAAGGATGAATTTTACCTTGGACATCAAACCTGTGTTTTGTGTCAGTTATCTCCCCTTTAACAATACTATATCTACATAACCTTTGTAAGACATTTCACAAAAACTTCAGTACACAACTCTTTTACAAATGAGAAACATAATAGAATACTTGTGACATATAGCCTTAAGTATAATGCACATGCTGAGCTGAAATGCTGCACAGATTTAGAGACATAAAGAGGAAGTTAACATCAATCAATCGCAGGTAACGATACAGGAAATCTATCAAATCACAGGTATCGATACAGGAAATCTATCAAATCACAGGTAATGATACAGGAAATCCATCAAACCACAGGTAACGATACAGGAAATCTATCAAACCACAGGTATCGATACAGGAAATCTATCAAATCACAGGTAACGATACAGGAAATCTATCAAATCACAGGTAACGTTAATCACAGGTAATGATATAGGGAATCCATCAAATCACAGGTAATGATACAGAAATCCATCAAATCACCGGTAACGATACAGGAAATCCATCAAATCACAGCTAACAATACAGGAAATCCTTCATATCACAGGTAAACATTCCAAAGTGATCTGCATTTCACCTTTTTTTTTTTATTACACACGATCTATCCAGGTATGTAGCAAACGTATCAAAATTGACACCAATCTCTGAAGCCATGTGGCCCCGCTGTTCAAAACATGATTACTTACCAAATTGTTTGATATATTTCCTTTATTTATGTAGAGCTTTCACTTGTTATTAATTATTTTCACATTTTTCCTTGAGACACTTTTGATTTCCTCACTAAACAACAGCAGTTTTGTTTTTAATTTGTTTGAATTATAGTTTTTTATGTTAAGCTGACGAACAATAACATCATTTATTTCCTAAAATATTTAGACTGTATTTCTAATACTCTTTGTGAAGACATTTTTAAATGGCAATAACTATGAAAATATAATCATGAAAGATTTCGTAAATAGTTTAACAATTTTGCTGAGGAAGTTATTTTCAAGAGTTTGAAATTCTTAATCCAATTTTTTTCAGAGTTCACAATGACATTACTGAGAAACAAAATATTAGTTGATTTAAAATGTTTTGGAGAAAATATGTTTTCAAAATCGAAAAACTGTGATCTAAGCTGATTCATTCAGAGGCATTATGTTGAAAAACTACCACATTCAAATTGCCTTTCAGCTAGAATTAGAATTATATAGCCAATACAAAATTATTTCCACCTTTGAGGTTACCCTCAAGACCCCAGTCATCAATGGGTTTTTTAATACTGAAATCATTCCGCATTTATCATGCTATTAACTTAGGTAAATAGCATAAACTATTGATCCAACTACTACTATCTCATTCAAGCAGAAAGCTTCAAACATTTATCATCTATATCACCAACTTGGATAAACTATAGGCACCAAACTTTAAATTCCAGCGTCCCAGTCTTACAGCAGGTACAAGCTTCAAGGTTATAACAACAAAATACACAATGATATATTTGTTTACAATTACTTGACGGTTCATCTCGTTAATCTACCTGATAAATCCAACATAGAGAGCATATACCTTTGAAGTTCCAGGTTACTTACCATATCTGCTACCAATAACATAAATGCACAAAAAAGCGGACATAACTTACAGCTGTATCCATTCACAGTGTGTACAGATCCTGTGTGTATTCCCATCGGAAGGTTTCCTGAATTCCCCAACCACGATGACCCAACACATTAATTTGTTGGCTGATGAATCCCGATCAACAGGAATACTATTTACACACAAAGATACCACGATCAACGTTTACCTGAAGCTTCCATACAAATGTTGGATGCAAATGATTGAGCTCTGTGGAGTAAAGCTATTTATAGACGCGTGCAATAGGAATTTCGTTTCTGTACACACATGCACTCCAGGTGAATATGTTTTCTGTCACATGACCCATCCATTAACCGGATCACACGGAAACGATGAATGGTCTATAAAGCCAACTGGTATTATTATCTTGATTATAATTCCCAGGTATTGATCACAGATTCACCGATCACTACAGGAGATGGAGTCTGTGTCAGCGTTGGTAGATTCCAGGCCGGTTGTAAGGCAGGTATAGGAGGGCATCAGCTGACTGTATAATAGCTGGCTATAAAGTAACACTATAATGATTAGCCCTGTGTCTCAGAGATGCATCAGTGCAGCCAGCAGAGAAACACAGGGACAGAGGGTCTGCTAACACACACCTTGAACTACTCTCCTATTACATCTCCCATCAATGACTTCACCGCACACACACTGTTATCCAAAAACCTGCATCTGCTGCTATTGGGATTGAAAAAGCAGGCATCTAGAAATCGTTTCACTAATAACACGTTTCCAGGTTGGTTGACTTAGGATCCATAAATATTTAATTGGCAACGGTATCACTACTCCAGTAGCGCTCCTGATACTCCCTAAGTCTACACTGTGCAGCAGTGTGAAATCCCCCAGTCAGTGGATCCCACTTGCTGAAACTATTGGTATTTTCAGGACAATAATGTCGTCGTCGAGGATGCTCCTTGGATGCGGAAATAGTTCCGCAACACTGCGACAAACTACAGGTTTATTATGGTAGAGACATGATGTCCGGGCTTCCCGATCAGGTTAAACGCCTAATCCTATAATGCTCGGTATTCAGTCGATATCCCTGGCACAAATCCACAATTTTCTTACCCTTAGGGACTCAATGCTCACCACTTGCTTCCTTTTGTAACTCACAGCTTGAAACTGCCAGCATCTCAAAGGTTTTCACCCTCAATCTGCCTACAAATATAGCTCCATCAGAGTGGTTTAAATTTTAGTACGCATCTGTCTCAAGCCAATATTTCAGGATACGTTTTAAAAGCAAATATTTTAAAGATATTTAAGAATTGTATTTTTAAATTTCAAATAATTAGTTAACTTTTCTTTATGCATATTGACAACATTGAGGTTTTTGTTTTTTAATTTACCTAATTGAGGGCACTAAAAAAAAAAAAAAAAAAAAAAAAAAAAAAATGATCGATTCTAAAACAAGTAACAGTGATAATCATTTATTTTACAGCACTTCTAATGATATTTCTTTTGAAATTGCAAGATATTTCTTCTACTAAAAAGATTATTTAACGTTAAATGTTCAAATGAACTGGTATAATCTACCCTTGAATAATAAATTTATTAAAGTTCACTGTTAAATGACTTTAAAATTTTATTTTGCATTTAAACGGGCATTTTCCAAAAACTATTACATATTATTCAGTTTTTTTAACATGTACATCAGTTACCGTTAAAACACAAACAATCAAAACCACACAAAAACCACAGTTCTATTGGTGGTTTAGTTTGAATCTGGCCCAGTTATCCATGACAACAGAAGAAATTGAAATGAATCTCCAAGGTGATTGGCGGTTTCCGCATGCCTGAATGATTGCCACACTGCAGCGATGCTCTGATGCTGCTCCGATGTTCAACCGTAGGTGTCATTCATAAACTGTAAAAACTGGGCTCGGAAATCAATATCTTAAGTGAAATTCATGGAGCCTAGTCAACGAATCAAGAGGAAGCACCAAGCTTTCATCCTGAACACAGACCCCACAGTACAATGTAGAGTGACTGTTAAACGTTTGTACGACCCAGCATCAATCTGATTCACTTGTGCTCGCTGTACCATGCAGAATGAATCGTTTAACACAACTAAATGTTTCTAAAAGGATGAGGGTAAGGAACATGGTGAAAAGGGTAAGGGTAAGGAACACAGTGAAAAGGATGAGGGTAAGGAGAATAGTGAAAAGGATGAGGGTAAGGAGAATAGTGAAAAAGATGAGGGTAAGGAACATGGTGAAAAGGATGAGGGTAAGGAACACAGTGAAAAGGATGAGGGTAAGGAACACAGTGAAAAGGATGAGGGTAAGAAACATAGTGAAAAAGATGAGGGTAAGGAACATGGTGAAAAAGATGAAGGTAAGGAACATGGTGAAAAAGATGAGGGTAAGGAACATGGTGAAAAGGATGAGGGTAAGGAACATGGTGTAAAGGATGAGGGTAAGGAACATGATGAAAAGCATGAAGGCTAAGGACTTGAACAAAGACACAGACTGCCAGATGGTAATTGTGAATGGATGGGGTTCTGGCAAAGGTATATGTTATGCCTCTGGATGGTTATACAGATGTATTTAACATATCATGGTTTTTTTTCGCCTTTCCGCAGTATAATCTTCCACCATTCTGGCGAAACTATCTGTCCACCACTCGCCACTCATGCCCCTCCCTCAGGTCAAATATTTCATCTGTATTTGTGTGAAGTTGGTGCATAAAAACCACACAGTTCATTGACAATAGCTTCACAAGATGACTTGGCAGGGAGTCTTGTTTCCATCCATTTATTACCTTGAGGTGTATTATGGGCAAGGGAGGCCTATCATTACCATTATTTTGTATGGGGAAAACCAAGACAAAGAAATCAAATACTCTACTAAGGGTCACAAGCAGTGGTCAAATCCACTGGCTACTGCATGGTCAGAACAAAGCCAGTATTAACAAGGCTTCCACAGGGCCGTACATAATACACCCATCACACATTGAATGAGAAGGAAAAATATGAAATATTTGCAATTGATGTTAAAGGAGAAATAATTCAACATACCTGCAATGATAGATCAATGAGTGCAATAAAACATCTTGAAACTTCTAAGTCTATCAATTATTGTCAGATAATTGTGATTACATTCACACCACTGATTCAGGGGGCATAACTCTGTATATTACAGTCAGATAATGGTGGTTATCCAATCAAGCTCATGGCAATTAACTTTCCTATGAAGTTTGAAGTTAATCCGTCGAATATTACTCGAGATATTGTGCGGACACTGTTTCAGCAATTGATTCAGGGGGCATAACTCTGTAAATTACAATCAGATAATGCTGGTCGTTACACTTCTCAAAGTTTTAATGGTAATTAATCTTCCTATGAAGTTTGAAGTTTATCCAACGAAAATTACTTGTGGTATAAAGTTGACACTGTTTCAGCAAATGAAAAAAGGGGTATATCACTTAGTAAATTAAAATCAGATAAGGATTGTTATCAAAATTGTTTGCGCTTTCATGGTAATTAACATCCCAATGAAGTTTAAAGCTAATCCATTGAAATTAACTAAAGATATTGAGCAGTCACTGTTTTGGATATTGATTAAAGGGGCATAACTCAGTAAATTACAGTCAGATAATATGGTTATCCAACTTGTCCAAGCTCTCATGGTAATTAACTTTCCCATGAAGTCTGAATTTAATCCCTTGAAAAACAAGAGGCCCATGGCCTTAACGGTCACCTGATATATTTATACAGAGAGTTGATTTTGTTTTTAACATGAACAGAAATATTATTCAAAGTGACAAAAAACAATAAAACCACCTTACTCAATATCTAGCATACAGATTTCAGACTAAAAAGGATTTGAAACTAGCACCTCTGATTCTTAACAAGGAAAATGAAGAAATTTTAGCACACTGACTCCTTTGAGCCCCACCCTACAGCCCTTGGGGGTAGGGCT